TTTAAATATTTAATGAGGGGTGGAAGATCATGCAAAATATGTACCTTATGAGTACTAACATCCAATATCTTAATAATAAGCAGGTTATAAACATGTAGTTAATACTGAGAATTGGTACCTTAATTAAAGTGTATCCAATAAGATATAATGGTCATACTTAATTTTTCTTAACAATCTATTAATTAAGACTTTTAGCTTAATAAGCTTATAATTTGTTGCTTATAGCTAATAAGTTTATAGTTGGATTTAGATATTGAATAAGGGATGTAGAATAAATTGATAAACTGATAAAACAAATAAAATAATAAGCAGCCAATATCTTAATAATAAGCAATACTACTACTACTACTACTACTACTACTAATAATAATAATAATAATAATAATAATAATAATAATAATAGAATAAAATGATAAACTAATAAAATACATATAAATAATAAACAGCTAATATCTTAATGATATGCAATAATAATAATAATAGAATAACATGATTTAATAATAAAATAATAAACAGCCAATATCTTAATAATAAGCAATAATAATGATAGAATAACATGATATAATAATAATAAAAATAAAAATAAAATAATAAACGCCTAATATATTAATAAGCAATAATAATAATAGAATAACGTGATATAATAATAATAAAATAAATATAATAATAAACGGCTAATATCTTAATAAGCAATAATAATAGTAATAGAATAACGTGATATAATGATAATAATAAAATAAATAGAATAATAAACGGCTAATATCTTAATAATAAGCAATAATAATAATAATAATAATAATAGAATAACGTGATATAATGATAATAATAAAATAAATAGAATAATAAACGGCTAATATCTTAATAAGCAATAATAAAAATAATAATAATAATAATAATAGAATAACGTGATATAATGATAATAATAAAATAAATAGAATAATAAACGGCTAATATCTTAATAAGCAATAATAATAACAGAATAACATGATATAATAATAATAAAATAAATAAAATAATAAATAGCTAATATCTTAAAAATAATAATAAAAAAATATATATATATATAAATATCTTAACAATAGGAAATGATAATAATAAAATAAAATGATATAGTAAAAAAATAAATAAAATAATAAACAACCAATATCTTAATAATAAGCAATAATAATAATGAATAAAATGATAAATCAATAAAATAAATAAAATAAAAAACAGCCAATATCTTTGTAAGCAATAATAATAAGGGATGTAAGCCAGTAGTTAGAACTGTATTTACTCTAATAGTGAGAACTGGTATTTACTCTAAAGTTACCAAACGTATGTTTTTTTTTGTTATGTTTTTGAAAATCGGCTCATTTTATAATTCCCCCGGAGTTAAACAGTTAAGTTTGACCATTTTTAAAGCCGTTCAGTCGATCTGCGATATGCTTAGCTTAGCAGAAATAATTTAATTGGATTAGACAATTAGCATCAAAATGACCAACATTGATAATTTTCCTATATAAATTTTATCTCTTCTGTTGGTGCATGATGTACAGCACCTGAAAATAGTTTTGAATTGCCTCTTGCAAATGTGTCCACGATTGCAAGATTTCTAAGTGTTGCGTAATAAAATTGTGCCTGCTGTAGCAGTGGTACAGCAGCAAAGTTCCTTGAATTGTATGCCGGTATGAGTAGCCATGTAAAATAGCAACTATTCATTTTTCATCACCCTTAATGTATCTACAAAACAAAATCAGTCTTTAAATAGGGAAATTATCAACACTTTTTGGCCATTTTTGAGTAAAATGCAAATAGTCTAATCTAATTCAATGATCTATGCTAAGCTAAGCTAAAAGTGTTCTTGCCTGACCCAGAGATCAGCTCAATGGATTTAAAATGGTAAAACTCAACTAATTAACTCCAGGGGAGTTGTAAAATGAGCCTATTTTCAAAAAAGTAGAGTGTTCCTTTAAAGTGACTTGTCCCCTTGACTCTTGTTTTCATCTGGTATTAACATGCATGTTCAGTGATCCAATCACAAGTGGCCAGCCAAGACTCATTACTGTCTCCTGGTGTTAACATGCATTGAAATTCATCTCTTGTGACAATTTGTGTTCAGATTTCATTGAGTCCCTTTGCTCATATTTTGTCACACTCTTCATCACTTTTGCAGGAGCGCTCAGTGTAACGAACAAGTGGTGAATGAATGAACCTATGTTACGTGACTTACAAGTGAGAAAGTATGTCAATGAAATAGATGGCAAAAATGAATTCAAACATAATACAAATGTATGCATGAAAAGCTGATTTCCATCCTCTTTCTTCCATAACAATCTCATGTTTTCATCAGTAGTTTGTCTATTGTGCCTGTCTGAATGCATTTAGCCCCATGAGCGTTTGCGCTTTGAAAGCAATCTGATCATATGTATTTCAGCTGGAAGCAAAACACAGACATAAACAATAACCAGACAGTGACTGTGACAGTACACTATGACTTCTTTATCAGTGACTCAGTGGAGGATTCAAATTAATTCAAATGGACAGCTCACTTAAAAAATATATTGATGTCATGTCATTCTAAACCTTTCTTTCTTTCTTTCTTTCTTTCTTTCTTTCTTTCTTTCTTTCTTTCTTTCTTTCTTTCTTTCATTCATTCTTTCTTACTTTTTAGAATGAGTATAATTTCGTCAGTAGAATCAACGTCATTAGGGTCGCATGTTGTTTTCTACCTCATTTACTTTTACTCTATGAACAAAAATGGGCTCATTGGAATTATGCAACCCAGGCTCATTCCGAAAACAAATCCCTATGTACATTTTTGGAGAGCACCAAATACGTCCCAGGAGCTATGTATTTTTGCAGTTTTTGTTTTGCAAATCCACTAGAGGTCGGTGTTCAGTCTTTTTTAGATCTTAAATTTCTCTCGGGAGTGCCATTCGTGCCTGCTGTTCTCTTGTAAATCCACCAGAGGTCGCTGTTGACTTACTGTTTGACTGCAAGAATGACTGACTGACTGACCGATCAACTGAACCACCCTCCTCCCTCCCTAAACCTGAGCAATAATATTTTCAAAAGCACAGATTGACGCGCTCACCCACTTCCCTAAACCCAACTGACAATTTTAAAAAACAACCCAGAAAAAGAAAAGCCCTTGTCTGATTTTTACCACATTCTCACCCTGTTATTTAGTTCAAAAGTAATAAAATTCATTGCTCTAGGTACATTTCAATGCACGTTTCAGATGACAAATTTACTGGACTGCGCTGTCTACATTTTGCATATCTGAAATATGTTACTTGTAGTTAGGTTTTGTTGTAGGTTTAGATAAACTTCCATGAGAAGCAAAACCACTGATATAAACCCTTTCCTAAATACAACCAATGGTGTTTTTAAAAGCACCTAAATGTAGTAGAAACGTACTCTGCCGCCACATAAATTTACCTTGATTTTACATAGCTGTCATCTCTTTTGCGTGCTTTACCGGACTCAAACCCGAGTGCTCTGCAGCACAAATATAACAAGCCTGATCTCATGAGGAAAATAACTATATTACGTTTTGTCAATTTAGTGGCTAATTCAAGCAAATTCTTGCAAGTTCAGTCATAAAAAAATGTGCGATTTTAAAAAGGAGCCGTTGCACTAAACCTCGCTTCTAAATGCAACAGTCATTGGGGTATAAGCAAGTCCTACTAAATTGTACAAATGAGATTGTTTGAATTCATACGAATTAGCCACTAAATCAAAAAGTCACAAATTGCCGTGAGATTGCCGTGAGATTTCTCAATATGCGTTCTTCGGTGATCTTGCATCCTCGTGTTCTCGTGTAACTTCATCATCAACTGCCAAAGTTCAGTTCCAATACTCAAGACAGCAAGAACGGCGGACACGTAAAATCATTTTTCACACGCATTCATTTTACCTAGAAACTCCATTCATATGTATATTTTTGCAGTTTCGCAGAAATGTAGGCTAAGACACGTATTTCCCGTGATCCTGTGTGGCAGAAACATATTTTTCTTTGTTTTCCACAAAGGCATAGATGTATATTTCAATGCTACATTCAACTGCTCCAGGCACTAGGTTTTACGTATTCACCATCTTGGAAAGGTCAGCGTGTTACATTAAATATCAGTTTTTCCAAGTCGCCACAACACCTTACAGCCTAAGGTTATAAAAACAAGATAGACACAAAGATTTCATTTCCTGAAAAAAAACAAGACAACCTTTTGCAGGTTTTTGTATTTATACATTAACATGTTTGTTTTTAAAGCAATAGCTCACCCAAAAATGAATATTTCATCATATTTACATTTGTTTGTGAATGTCTTTCTACGGTTAAATGAAGAATGGGATTGGAAAAAACAGTCAATGTCTGTTTTTTATAACATTCTTCAGTATATCTTCCTTTGTGAGAAAATCCCAACAGGTTTATAAGATGTAGAAGATGAGTGAATAATAATAGAGATTTAATTTTCATGTGAACTATCCCTTTAAATACTATTTTAAGCAAATTAATTTGTGAATTTCCCTATTTTAGGTGAATTGTCCCTTTAAGAAAAGTCTAAATCCTTAATAAAGTCCCTCATACAGAACCCCTGCATGGCAATATTGACATTGCGGATTAAAGCATGTAGTCTAACATCGCATTGCAAACCCAGTATGACAGCAAGAAAAGGGGAGCGGGAGACAAAAACAAACACAAAAAACATGCCCACAGGAAATGGAATTAGCCGTTGTGCAAGTGCAATTGTAACACATGTGGCTCAGTCCAAATACACTTTCTCTTTCCCATCCGTCCATCAATATCTCCTTCTGTGGCGCATTCTAACAAATAAATTCCTCCTCCCATTCTTCCCTCTCTCTTTTTACCCCCTAAACCCTTCATCCCTCTCTTCTTCTCACTCTTCACATTTCTGCATATGTAATCCTATAGAGTGTTTGATGTTATGCTACACTTCTCTCTATCTCCGGCTCTCCTCCTCCTCTCTCTCTCTCTTTCTCCCTCCCCCTCCTCTCACTCTCTCTCTCTCCCTCTCTCATTCTCTATCTCCTTCTCTTGCACCACCTGTTAGTGCAGACCCCTGTGCTTTGGAATTCACTTGTTTATGAGGGACTCTTTCATACTCACACAATCAAAGGTAAGAAACAGCAACAACCCCAAAAAATCCTTTCTCTTTATCTTTGTCTGCATAACTTCTTATGTAATTTAATCTCCCGGCGTTATTCCTTATATTTGTTTTGTCCCTCTCTTTGCAAACCCCTCCCTCTCTTTCCGTCTCTCTGGTAATTAGGCAGTTCATCGTTAACCCCTTCTTTGCAGCGTTAATCTGTTTCCTCGTAGATTTTGTCGATGCAGAATTTACATAAAGTTGCTGGTTTGCCGTTCCTCCTCATTTCTCTTTTCTTTTCTTTTTCTTTCTCTCTCTCTGTAAGTGTGTGTGCAATCATTCTGCGTTAAGTATTAATGTACTCATGTATGCATGCACATTAACCTTTTCACTCTCTTCCTGTTGCTCTCGCCACCTCCTCTCCACCCCTTAACTCTCATTTGCTGCGTCGCTTTTGCATAATCTTAACTTTGGAAGGAGCGAATATACTTTGTTCTGGCGCAGAGCGAGGAGATATGTGAATAATCTGGCACTCGTTGATACTGTGATATGAGATACTGTGCTTTTTTTCTATGAAGCTCTTGTGGAAATGTGTGATACGGACACTCTTTCTCTCTCTCTCTCTGATAATCCATCAGTGTCTGAGTGACACAGTGACTGACTGTGAAACGGTGATGTGCTTCTCATCAGGACCACTGATCTCCTGTGAATAAAAGGGAACATGATAGCACTGATGAGGCATGAGAGAGAGTTTTAGGCAGACAGACAGACATTTGAGATATATATTTTTTTTAAATTCTTGTGAACATTTAGATATTTGTTGATGATGGAACCCATTATTTATTTTCATAGTGGATACAAAAAGCTTTTAAATTATTGTTGCATTCTTAAATATATTTAAAAAGCTATAAAATGTTTTGCTTTTGCTGGAATATATTTGACATTTCACTGAAATGCATACACTACCTGGCAAACGTCTTGTCGTTGATCCCAGATCTAAGAGTTGACTTCTAGTTGATCATTTGGAAAAGTGGCAGAAGGTGGATTTCTCAGATGAATCATCTGTTGAGCTGCACCCCAATCATCATAAATACTGCAGAAGACCTATTGGGACCTCCATGGACACGAGACTCTCATGGAAATCAGTCAAGTTTGGTGAAGGAAAAATCATGGTTTGGGGTTACATTCAGTATGGGGGTGTGTGAGAGATCTGCAGAGTGGATGGCAACATAGACAGCCTGAGGTATCAAGACATTTGTGCTGGCCATTACAATATAAACCACAGGAGAGGGCAAATTCTTTAGTAGGATATCACTCCTACTTATATTTCAGTCTCTACAGCAAAGTTTTCTGAAAGCAAAGAAGTTTAAAGTGCTCCAGGATTGGCCAGCTCAGTCCATTATTGAACATTATTGAGCATGTCTGGGGTACGATGAAGGAGGAGGCATTGAAGATAAATCCAAAGATTCTTGATGAACTCCTGCAAGAGTGGAGTCCTGCAAGATCGTGTTCTTGGCCATTCCAGATGACTTTATTAATAAGTTATTTGAGTCATTGCAGAGATGTATGGATGCAGTCCTCCAAGCTCATCGGAGTCACACACAATATTCATTATTTTTTCCAAAAGTCAGACCTTTCTTTCCTAATTAAATAATTAAAAATCAAGGCATGATCATATTTTATTTTGGTAAAATAAGTCTAAATCTAGAGGTCTTTGCCTTTTATATAAGCCACTTCTAATACCGAATGATCAACTAGAAGTCAAGTTATTATTTGAGATATTCTTGTGAAGTGCTGTCTAACAATTTGTACACATTTTTAAACATAATAGGTTAAATAGCTAATTCTAATAACTATTTTTTTTGTCATTCCGATGACAGTAAATAATATTTTACTAGATATTTTATTAGATGCTGGTATTAAAGTAATAAGGTTAATTAGGTTAATTATGCTTAATTAGGCAGGTCATTGGACAACAGTAGTTTGTTCTGTACAGAATCAAAAGAACAAATTTTAATAATATTGACCGTTTTTATATTTATTATGTTTTATATTTCTCCATAAGCAAAATAAAATAGGTACAGCACTTGAAAAGAATAAAAAGTTTACAGGAAAGCTAATAATTTTGTCTTCAATTATATGTACATTCTAAAAATGAAATGGTGGGTTGTTTTAACTCAATAGCTGGGTTAGTTCAAAATTAAAATATTTATGAAAAAAGTATTTTACAGTTTATTTTTTTATTTATCTTGTATATATATGTATGTTGTATATATAAACGTTATCTTGTATATATATATATATATATATATATATATATATATATATATATATATATGAGGACAGTAAAAACTAAATACAAAGAAATTTGTCGCCACAGAAAAATGAACCACCAATTATTCTGGTATACGACATATATATATATAAACACATTTTCTTTAGAGGATTTTACCCTTTAATGGATAGAACAGTATAGAGAATTGACAGGAAATCATGGGGAGCAGAAGGATCGGAAAAGGACCTCGAGCTGGGATCCAAACTCGGGTCACTGTGAGGCATGAGCACCTTGGCGTTATATGTCAGCGCATTTAGCCAGTATTGGCTATACTTTTTATGTAGAGGATGCTCTTTCCTGGTGCAGCAATTAAAAATTTTAAATGATCATATTTTAATTTAACATGTAGAAAATACGTCAATATTGGAAACAACACAATTTAATATTTTATTTAAAGACATATATTTATGACAAATTTTAGAAATATGATCATCATACCTGTAATGTGAAGTGGACGCTGGACAAAAGGAGTGTGGATCCAAATGCAGGCTTATTGAAAAGAGAATGGTCAGGCAACCAACAGTCAACACAGGAGCAAACAGATATACGGGCAATCCAGAGTCGTGGTCAATAAACAGGCAGATGGTCAAAAGGCAGGCAGCAGACAACGTGGAACAAACAAAACAAAGCAAGGTTCAAACATGGAAGGCAAGGAAAACACGTTGTAATGTTCACAGTTCAGTATAACAAGACTCAGCACTGAAGTGTGCGTATGTCCTCTATAAATAGTCTTAGTAATCAGTTGATGAGTAGCTTCAGCTGTGTCTGCAATCATAGGGATCTAGGCCAGGTGTGTTAGTGGTGCATGACTGGATCTTGTAGTCCATATATCTGTGGATTTGTAGTCCTCATAGTGATCTACATTTTTATCAGTGATCTGCACAGGCTGGATCGCTGATGATCGTGACAATAACTTTGAAGTGGACGCTTATTTTTTTTTTCCAGAGTTGCATTCAAGCATGACTTTCAGAATAAAAGCTAAATTCATGAATTGAATTAAAAATTGGCCACTGTTGTGTTTTATACAATATGATATTTGAAAAATTTGTTAAAATAATAACCCATAAAAAAGATTTTAGCTAGCATTTTTCAGAACTTTAACACCCACCATGTCAACAAAAATGAATAATTTACCTCAGATTTTGAAAACAAACAATATTAACATTTTCATAAACTCAAACTAAAATTTACGGTTTTGTCGCTTTAGTGCATTTCTCACAACACTATTTACATTTGCACAACAGTTAATGCACTTCTCAAATTAATTAGTCATTTGTGCACATAGTAGCAGTTTCTAATTCCTTCCAACACATTGCCGATGCTTTTGGACATGCATCAATTGCTTTCATACAACTCTGCTGCTTTATAACATTATTATTTTCTCATGTCGTGTCAGTCAAAATGAACTAAACTTGTAAATGCTGAAAAGTCATTCCATATAAACTATTAGTCCTCATTTCATTACTTAAGTCATTACATCCAAAAATGTTGAGCTAGTTGTCAAAATCTATCAAGCAAATTTTATTTAAAAAAATTTAATCTTTTTTTTCCCCCCTGAAAATGTTACCTAAAATGAACATTTTCATGAATGATTTACAGACCTGTGCATGTTGTAGGTTCAGTTCCAATATGTAATGCAATATTGTTTACAAAGGACATTTATGTTTGTTGTAAATAAGGGTGTATTTATTCTTTTGCACAATGCTGTGAATACATTAGAATTGCAACGACCATTTACAGTAAAAATGTGAAACATACATATTCAGTGTCTTGTACTCAGATACTTCACTAAATGCAGTGATGTCTAACTTTACTGTATTTTTTAAATGGCTGTGCAAACATTTTCAGCAAGTGTCACCAAAATCTGACTTTTTTGCATTGGAAAAAACTAACAGAGTAAACTGTAAAAATAAAAACATGAGAAAGCCATTTGACTATCTTGTTCATAAACAATGGTGTCAGGACTTTTCATCCGGATGACAATGACACTTTCATTGACATAAATACTTGCTTTTGAGGAATGAACTATCCATTTTAAGCAAGTGACGCACTTTTGCAGGTTATCAACTAGGTTTTGCAGTTTGTACTTATTGTTTTGAGAAATGCATTCTGCAATGTAAATAGTGTTGTGAAAAATGCACCAAAGCCACTGAGAAAAACTGTAATAACAACAACAACAAAAAAAGATATAAACATGATATATAAACATAAAAAATTCCCTGACTTTCAGTTTCTATTACAGAAATTCAATGACCCACAGGAACCATTTGTTGGTTGGATGGATGGATGGATGGATGGATGGATGGATGGATGGATGGATGGATGGATGAATGGACGGACGGACGGACGGACAGACAGACAGACAGACAGACAGAGAGTCAGATAGATAGACAGAACAACAGATAGAAGTGGGAGATCAGCATGAAACAGATTTAGCCTTCAGGCAGAAGCAGTGAAGAACTGAGCAAGAATTTTAAAGACTCTGAGACAGAAAACAGAAACACTAAAACACAGTCTGTTTAACACACGCGCGTCAGTTACACAATTAAAAAAAAAACATTGTGCCACTTAATCGGCTAGTTAATTTGATCAGCCAGCGAGCGTGTTGACAGAAATCCAAATCCCAACTTGCTATTGTGTTTCATAATGCGAGTTTGGTTTCAAGTGCCAACAGTGTCATAATGTACTGTGACAA